CCAAGCTCGGCCAGCGGCACGGTGCCCGGCACGCCGCAGGAGGCAACGTGCCAGCTGTTCCCGAAACGGCTCACAGCAGGAAAGGGGCAAGTCTGGTCTCAAAGACATCTCTAACTGACAATGCTGACTTAGTCGGTCAGCAAAGCAGCAATATCTTACCATAAATTAACTAAGAAGGGATGTTCCAGGCCCTGCATAATCTGCAGCTCCTTGAAAACATTCCTCACTTCATTGCGCTCCACGCACTTCTGTTTATTCATGTATTTCATGGCATACATCTTCTTGGTGTCGTTCTTTTGCACAACGCAGACCTAAGAAAGCAAATCAAGGGATAAATCAGAGGTGATTTGTCAGCAAATTCAGGCATGTAACACCTGGTCACAGGAGCGTTCTCCAGTGGCTTTGGCCAAGTCGGCACCGCTGAGCCACAGTTCCGTGCGCTGATGCTGCAACACTGCACATGGCCACCACATCTCTCACTCAGTTCCCAGCCAAAGAAGAAATTTTGCTGGGGGGAAGGTGAGAGGAAGGAATTTATCACCTCGAAGAGAGCAGATAGGGAATGGCACACGAGTCAACGTTTTGTTTAACAGCACTAACTAATCTGGGTCGTGTCCATCCCTCCCACATCAGTTACTCTTTGGAAGAGTCTTTTCCACCACAGAACTCCAGGTTAGAAACTGAGGAGCAGCACCTGATCTCCCTCTTCTTGATAAGTTCCATTTAACTCACAAAGAACTTTGGGCTTTGTTGGAGGGATATTGGGGTTTGAATTTTAACCTTTCTTATATTTAATCAAATCTAGAAAGAAACGTCGCTTCAGTGACAGAGTTTGTAACAGCGCAAAACAAAAACAGACTGGTTGGAGTTTTTTTTCAGATTTGTTTCCACAACAGTTTATGAGTTCAGGATGAATTTGCAAGGTTTCAGTCAACCTTTTTTGTTTCACCACCAAACAAATCTCTGTGTCTAGAGATCTTTGTCATGCTCTGCACCTCAGACATGCCCCGTTTCTGGCACGAGTGTTTTTACGTGAAAGGGCAAATGACCTTCTAGAATTCTGTCAGTGTATACAAGCGGGAATTCCATAACGGCATAAAAATAAAATCAACCTATGACTGTAACCTGATTTGTGCGTTTCACAGAGAAATATCCCCTTGAAAACACTGCCAGGTCTTTCATGTTGATTGTAGTTTCTTATCAAGATGCATCACAATGTTCAGTATTGCTTCACTGGGGAATCTTAGAAAATGCTTATCCAGAAACATAATGAAATTCAGCTCATTTGATTTATCAGTATCTCATTTTAATCTCCTGTAGTGTGGCTATGGAATGGATGAGGAATCGGGCTCTGATTCTTTCTTGATTACCAGGAGTTGAAGCTCAGGTCAAAGCTCACTGACAACGCAGGGGTTTATTTCTCTGCTCTCCTCTGAGCCTCTAATTCGCCCATTTCTCAGGTACATTTCCAGCTGTCCAAACAGTGATTAGTTCACAAAATACTCACTTTTCCAAAGCTGCCCTTCCCGATAGCTCGCAAAATTTCAAAATGGTCGAAGGTGACTGCAAGAAAGAGCAAACATTCAAATATGAAATGGCTGAGCAACCGTCTGATGATATTACACTATTTCTACTTTTTCTCCATAAGACAAGAGCTGAGAAAGATGAGGGATATCCTAGCAATCTTCTGTTGCTTTTGGAGATTTGGGTGCTGTTTAAAATTTGGTGTTTAACAGTATTTTTTTCTTTCCAGCTTAGCTGCAAAGGCAAGTCCCCCGAGTTGGCCTTTTTCAATGGCAATCAGGCAAGGTCTGCGCCCAGCCCCTCGCCCCACCATGCCCACCGCTCCGACCCCAGGCTCATGCTTCAGCGGAGCTGGAGGCTGGGGCTGTATCCCGCTCCAAGCCTCCCAGACGACTTGGGCTCCGGCTGTGCCGGGCGCCAAAGCCAGAACTGGACCCAACACCAACAGGCACCATCGGTTCGGGCTCTTGTTTTCACAGCAACACTGCTGCGTGAGTCACGCGTGCTTCGCACGGCAAAGCTTTCCCTCTCCGTGCTCTCCGAGATCACAGGTTGTCCTGAAAAGCGCAGCTCTCAACACAATTGTCATCTGCTGCTTTCCTCATTAACTGAACCGAATGGCAAGGAAACCGAGAGGTGTTTGTCCCCAAAGCTTTTATCAGATGACATCGGCAGCAAGGAAGAAGCCGTTGCTAATCACTCTGCCACAGCAACAGACAAATCCTCCTCGTTACAGACTGGTGCACCATACTGGTCAGAAATAAACCCATTTTTCTCTGGACACGTCCTGTCTCAGCTAAGACAAGGATCACAGGACAGAGACTAGATCCTTTCCACCACGCTACTACAGGGAAGTGTACTCACACTTTGC